CGTCCTACCCACTGAGCCACCGGGTCGACGTCTTGCCGGTTGTCGATCGGGACTACTGGGACTACTCGCTTCTAACAAATGTCATATATGGAGGGGGGGAGTAGTGACACGCCTGTGTCACCGTGTCAGCTATCTACGACTTATCCCGCGTCCGGTCTTTATAACTCCGTTATGACACTGAGTTGAAGTGGGTGAGCGAGGCCATAGTGCAGTAGATGTTGTGCAAGCCTATGATCCTTATAAACTAACGCTGGCATGAGTCACCGTACCTGCACCCACTATGTTATGGGGCACAGAGTGCACCTCATCGAGATGCTCGATAGGAAGACGAAATACTGGTGTTTTTTGGCTCTGGGTTCACAGTCCAGAGCTGTCGCAAGCAGTCAAGTAAAGACAGGCATGCAATAATCAAGAAAGACCATTGGACAAAGTCAGAAGAGACTGAAGTGGGCATATTCAGCTCGTCTATCTTAACCTGTTAGCAAACCTCTGGCTTTTCGGACGTGAAGTGTATGTAGATTAATCATCATCTCCCCTTGCACTATGGGTAATATTTCTCAAGAAATGACTATTCATTGCGGCGACGGCTTACAGCAGTCCTAGGCCGCAGCTCTGATTCAAGAGGAAATGCTCCTAGTTCCAGTTGCTAAAAAACCACCTGCATGGTAGATTAAAGTTGCTCTTTTCGGCCAACTGTTTACATACTCGCCAACAAATGTTGAAGCTTGTGGTTAAAAAAGTCCTGCAAGTCGAAAACACGGTCAAAACTGTACCTGAACGTTTAAAATGCACGAACTGCACACGAACTACAAACTATCCGACGCTGAACAAGGATCTGACTTCCATGTTGCGAACGCTGATACAAACGAACCACACAGCTTGCCCTTCGGAGTTGGTGCTTTATACGTAGAATGGTCACTGACTATTTAAATATAGGCGTAACGAAATGCATGCTGCATGCAGTGACAGAGGAAGTCCATCCAGGAGGCTACATCTCTGCAAAGTAAGAAAATATGCTAGGTGCCATTGTTTGTAGTACTATCTTACTGCGTGGATCATGCTCATTTTAAGGTGCAACAAGGCCAGTTCGGTCTGCTGCGCACGACGTTTCTTAAAGAGATCGGTTCTTTAATACTTATTCTTGCCCAATGGGCAGAATAAAAAAACCCAGCTATCTTACATAGTACTGGAGGAAACACGTATTGTACTGTTTGAAACATGAGCCAAAATCTTCAATTTTTGTGTGATTGTGTGATAAGTCCAACGAGATACCCAATTTGAGGACAAAATACGGATGTCTTGTTTGGCTCTGTAGTCTAGGTCTAGAGCTTTCGCAAGCAGTCAAGTAGAGACAAGCATGCATGAAGGGTGGCACGCCTAGGCGCGGGCTCCCGCCGTCTCATCTTGCGCCCGCCTCTGATTTTCCTGATGGTGTGCAAACAAATGAGAAAGGAGAGGGTGTGTGTATGGTAAATGCTGCTTTTCGCCGTCTCCCCCTCCTTCCGTAGTTTTGGCTTAGAGGCTGACCTCTACCGGTCATTGCGTAGGGAAAGCACAGCTGGAAAAGTTAGACTCGATCGCCCAACTTTTCGGATTCATGCTCGAACACATATATTATCATTTAGGAGGTTTGGCAGGTTTGCTTAATTTACTTGATCCAGTTGCGAAAAAAACTCGGGGCGATCGGTGTGGTTTGAAGCAGCATAGCAGGGAGGGCCTTTACGCAGCCAAAGCTCTACCACCTGAGCTAAAAACGCCACGCCTTGCGACGGGAATTTAATCACACTTGGATCGATTTTGCCCGCCCAACTTTACCGCTCGAATGGAATCAACCAACGCGAAACAGCAAGCTGACCGCCCAAGCAGGATTTCGTAAGCAATCATCTAGAATCACCAGAATGACTGCTAGGCCGACTTAATTATTTAGGGGCTTTTGGCAGATTTGCTTAATCATTTAACCCAATTGTGAAGAAACTCGCGGCGATCGGCGGGATTTGAAACCGCATAGCAGGGAAGGCCTTTACACAGCCGACGCTCTACCACTTGAGCTTCAAACGCCACGCCTTGCGCTGTGAATTTAATCACACTTGGGTCGACTTTACCCGCCCAACTTTACCGCTCGTATGGAATCCACCAATACGGAACAGAAAGCTGATTGCTATATATTAGCTTTGATGCCTAAACACACCTAAACCTTCAGTTTGTTGTCGATGTCCTTCCTCCTATGGTTTCCTTTATTGTGCTCAGTGAAGCCATCAACATGCTCAGCGTGACCATTGATAGGGTACCTTTTGATGGATTAAAAGTCACGCTAACTGGGCCAACTGTCAAGTTACATCAACTAGACTTAACAGACGTGTGTCTCTTCAACAGCTAGGAATTTGTCTGGGAAAGCCGGTTTGGTAATCGCTGAGGAATCAGCCCAACCTTCCCCAACTTTATTAAACAGGAGTCCTATGTCGGGTCAGCTTCCAACCCCCATTCGAATGTGGTGGGTTGGCACGAGGAGAGTGAATGCCCTGCAAGCCGCCCTCCCTGTAGTTTAACTCGCGGGCAGGGCTTTCTTGTGAGGCCACCTAATGGTCACAGAGTTGCTCTTATAGATTTTGGTCTATAGGCTTGCTTTTCACCTGCGATTTTATTTAAGTGACAAAGTTAACAGCGGCTTTAATTACTTTTCCTACTTTGTATTTACTGCGCATTTCACGCCTATTATATGTTCATTAATGAAGCGTTAAACCTTTAATCACGAATTCTGTAAGTCATTTGGGCGGGGGAAATTTATTTTCAGACGGCCTCACAAGAAAACCATACCAAGTCATGCAAGTTACTATTGCCCCTTGGAAGGTTTTTTGGCGGTTCTCGTCATTTTCCACGGATGAGTCGCACACCTGGGACCCTGCTGTGAGCAAGTAAATGCCTTAGGGGGGAGAATTAAGTGAGTCACGGATCGACGCAGCTCAGAACGATCGGTACACCAAGCAGTCCTTTGGGTCTATTTGAAAACATAATAATCATGGGTATTGTGATCAAAATAAGTACAAGCCAAACAGACGAGGAGAGAGCATTAACGAGTACTCTAGAGTTGGGCTTTATTCATCTTACAATTGGCGTATGAGAACTGAAAGGAGATGATGAATGGTTAGGGTAATATAGGCAGTTAGTGAACGTTCGTTAGGGGGCAGGGGTGAACGCTCGTCAACGAGGGTCAGAGTAGTGTTAGCATGACAATGGTGTGTGCAAGAATGGCCTTTTTTTAAACTAACTCGACTGTTTTCTTGTCTTTCTTTTCAGCCTTCCGGCAACCTTGACAGCCCTGAGGGTGGTCTGGACGCTCTGCTACAGGTGGCTCGCTGTGGCAAGGAAATTGGTTGGCGCAAGAACGCCCGCAAAATCGTCCTTTTCGCTACCGACGGCGGCTTCCACCTGGCCGGAGACGGTAGGCTGGCCG